TTAATTTATAAATGTAATCTGAATTGAACATTTATAATAATACAGCTCACCCATTTATCTGCCTGAAGATGTTTTCATATTCATCTGTAGTATGAGTCAGCCTGTGGAAGGTGAACAAAACAAAGAATGCTTCCTCACTGCATATTTTACATCGTTCAGACAGCACACAGGGGAAGACAAAGGATTCCATTTGACAGAAAAAGCTTCTTCTTTTTGCACAAAAGCAGCAAATATCAACTGTGATAAGTAAATAGCAAACAAAAGCACAGCGTCAAACTAATGTCACTTACAGTTCCAAACAGGCTACATTTAAGTAACATCATCCTTAAATAACTCTGTCTAAAGAAGTCCTGTAGATAGTTTTATTCTGCAGATTAAAGAAGTGGGTTAATTATCTTCTTATTATTGTTATATGTTAATAGGTAGGATTATCTCCCATTGCATGCTCACTAGAATAAACAGATCATATAAAAACTCCAGTCAATTGTATGATATGGTCTATCTTTAACTGTTGAATTAACCCACCTGATAGGCATCACTCTGCTGCCCCCAGACTCAATGTATTTCACATAGGAGGCAGGTATGTAGGTGCTCCCAAATGGTTTCATGATGTCATCTGAAACTATCTGAGTCAAAATACCTGCAGGACAAAAACATAGCTGTGAATACAGGGTTGGTTTTTTAAATGTTTGTATCACATAAATGTATCTTTATGTCTCTGTTTCAAGCCTGCAGTAGTTGTAAGTTTCACTTACCAATCACAGGTCTGTTGTTGAAAGTCTCCTGGTTGAGTTTAGACGGCATAGCTTTGCTGCAACAGAAGCAGCCGGCAAAAAACAAACACACAAATGCTGAAAATCCTGCCCTGGACATGTTGTCACCTCAGTTATTGAAGACAAGGCTTAATTGAGCATATAAAAAGGCATGAAGTTGTTAGAGAGTGCCAATTCTTGAAAAAAGCAGCAGCAGACTTATATATGTCGAACCGGAAGAGGATACAGTCAGTACAGGGAAGTGAGGAATGTCCAGATTTACATGTGATGATTCCTCTACTGCACATGCCGGTCGGGCAAGTTGACTGCTGAGGTAAACATAAATATTCTGCTGACAGCCCGGAGTTTTTGGTAAAATTCTTATCATTTGTGTGGTGGGAAACGATGCAGTTTCATGGGTCAGAGCAGGGTTTTGCAATAACGTTCACAGAATTTGAACGAGAGCATTTAAGAAAGCAGCTCTCAGATCACACGGCTCAAAGGAATCAAGGTGCAGTCAAACAGTTTCCGTCTGAAAATGAAAGTAGGTTTTCTATTTATAGGACTTGTAAGGTAGGAAGCTTATTGCAGAGGCGTGGACAGACTCTGAGAACTAAGGCCAAACATTCAAAAAGGGCACCAGTTTGTACAGGTTCTGCAGACCAAGACTCTCGAAACCTCCATGGTTATCACTCCAGTGGTTTCTGTTTTAAATAAATAAATAAATAAACCTTTCTCCAGTAATGCTGTGTAGACATTTTTTTAAAAATCTGGAGCAAAATGAAATCTCACTGATGCAATACTTACAAAAATAACACTGAAAGCACTGCAGTTACTGTAACAGGCAAAGTTTCTACACAGATTGGGTAATAGAGGGAGACAAATGTTGAAAGATAGTGAATGGACCTTGAGATAAGGTGCTGTCGAAGGTGTCTTATGGTGTTAGAGAGTAACATTAAGTGAAAAGAATTCATTTCATCCTGTATGTCGGTCAAGAAAACTAGTGAAAAACGCAAAACGTCCTGGAGACCATGTTTGGTTTGTCCCTTCTGGGCTACTGTAGAAACTGTGGTCCGACATGGCAGACTCTGTGGTAAAGACCCAGCTACCACTCAATTATACAATTAGAAATCAAGCAATAATACTTCTTTCATTCAAACCTCTCATACTTATATATATATTATATTATTTAATAATTATTCCAGGTTTTCCAGGAAATCTCATTTAAAATAATGGACAAAATGTTTAAAATGGATACATTTTCACCGTTTTTCATGCATTTTAAGCTCTCATTCATACTTTCAGCCAGAAACTCCATTCAAACTGCCAAATGTAGTGAAAGTTTTTAAGTGAAGTTTTTTTCTTTGAAAAGCTTTTAAATAATTTTTTAACCTCTTTCCACTTATACATTCACATATAAACTCCATTCAAACTTTAAAACATTCACAACACTTGGGACTCACATTAAATCAACTTTTTCATATCTTTCATACTTTTTACACAATCGTAGTTGAAGATTGATTTAATTTTCAGACCTTCAGAGAGTTTTGTATTGGTGCTTATGGGACACAATGTTCTGAGGAGGAACTGTAAAACCATCTTAAACATTTATCTTCAACTTGCTCTCATTCCCACAATTTTCACTCCACATAAGTAAATTATACATCCAAATGCAGGAATATTTGTGCCATTCACAAAACATGACTTCAGAAACAAACAGATTTACACATTTGGCACAAGAAGCCTCAAATAAAAAAACAGGAGACCAACCCACTGACTCCCATATTAACAGACAGCACACATTTCAGGAGGGAAGTATTAAACAGTTTTCTTACTTGCTCCTGCACTTACACGCTAAACACACAAATTTAACACGATGTGCTCAGCAGCATCTCCTATTTCTTAAACTGTTGCCATTCAGGCAATAGGAGTTACTGTCTTTGAGGAAGAAGCAGCCTGTGACATTAGACTGTACATTTTTCTCATTCTCTGAGCCAGGAGTTGAAATAGCAGTTATCATCACCATGGCAACCTTTGACTGACACACAAACACAGCTCATTGAGATTAGCTAATTAGTGCAGTCTAGACACAATTAGTCAGACACACACGCACACACACGCACACACACGCACACACACGCACACACACACACACTCAGACATCCTCATAATTTTTAATTTTTAAGTCTTATTTGCTCATTCATATGTTCAGATAGAAACTATATTCAAAGCTTAAAATGTTCCACATCTTTAATACATTATGTGGTTTATTCAACTTTTCAGTCCCATTCGTACTAATTAGATCCTTTCCCACTGCTCCAACTCTCCATACTCCTGCTGCTTCCTCTTCTTCAAACAACGGTGAGCCAGCTGTTGTATGCAGCCAGATTTAAAAGCAATGCTGTTGCTGTTTAGTTCCTGGCCATTATCAGTCAAGGTGGAGGTGTTGGTAGTAGAAAAAGGAGAAAGAGGAGAAAGGAAAAATACACAGAGGGAGATAAAGAAGATAGGGGCAGTTAAGTGTAAAGTTCAGTATGTCTCCTGACCTGGTTCCTTCATTTTTCTCCACATCCCTGTCTCGTACTGCAGATCTGGATATTTTGGTTTTGACTTCTGTACAAACATGGTGGTTCACATAGCAGCCTAGATGGAAGAGGAACCGCTCCCTCTGTAGATATAAAAGGCTCATTCTAAGGTAATGACAACAAAACAAATCTTATTTCTTATACACTACTGAACTCATATCTATGAATATTATATACCATTTCTGCCAAAAGATCCTCTTAAATGTTACACACTGGCCCTTTAACACCCTTTAAATAAAAACTAATTGAAAAAACAAACAGAATCAAAGGAAAAAAACAAAAACACTTCCAGCTGAAAGACTATTTCTAGCAGTGTTATAATCTCAAAAAGAACTTTTCTTTAAAATTTTCACAAAGAGTTGAATAGATAGACAATATATCAATAAACTGCTGGGAGTTTAGATCATAACATGAGTCGTAACCTCCTAAACTCTCAACTCTGCAGCATTACCTAGCCAAATAAGGTTAAGATATCAATATCTAGAACATGGGACAAAACATATTTTGTCACTTTACCAGATTTATTTGTCTGCATAGTCACAGATCACACTAGCAGCCATCCTCCACTCTGTGTTTGAAAATGTGTTTGTTTTTTTGTTGCATTATTAATATAGGGGCAAGAATTCAAAGCAATTCAGTTTAGCATTAGCTTTTCAACAAAGCTTCTTATATTCTACATCAACTTTCATACATTTTTAAAGGCAGCAGTGTCTTTCAGTATCAGCCTTTCAACATCTTGCATTCACCTTCTCATGTATTAATCTTTAGCCTACATTTGGGAAGAATTCTCCATTACATGGAGGAAGTTACAAACATCGGTCTGTCTGTACAGCTGGTGTCACGTACATTTGGTAGTAAAATGTTGCTGTATGGTCTGTTTATATTTCCAAGTTAAATCCAGGAGCATCAGTGCTTCCTTCTGAGGGCGCTGGTAGAGCACCAGTGCAAATAACTCAGGCGGAACAAAACCTTGTTCTTCCACACAACTGGTGGTAAAATCCTCCACACTGTACAACATTTGACCCCTTCATCTTTCTCTTCTTATCCAGATTTAGTCCTTAATTCATTAAATATACTGCAAGCATTTAAACCAAGGCTAGATTACCAACTGGGCAACTGCCTCATTTACAGAACCCCCAGGGGCCACAAGAGTCCCAGATTAATTGCATGTGATTTGGGTGTGACATCTCTTTTTATTTTATTAATGTATTTTTCTATTGCCTTTAATAGCAACAGCTGAAGAGTGACAGGAAAAGGGGGGGGGGATGAAACACAACAAAGGGCCACAGATCGAAGTTGGACGCTGCAGTAAGGACTCAGCCTTCAAATCAAATTTCTTCTCACACTCCCAAAAACATGCACTAGATTGGACACACAAAAATTTAAATTCTCATTGGCTTAATGACAATAAACAAAAAATGGTTGGTGTTAAAATGTGACTTTCTATTGTGAGTGTCTTTCTTCATCATTGGCTGATAATTAGTAAGCCGAACAGAAGAGTGGAGTAGTCTGTTTCCAGTGCATGAGAGTGAACCACCAGGTGGGGACAAATTACCACTAATGGTTCAGATATCGGTCAACTGTTGTGTTGCAGTTTAAGACAAAAAGAAGAGAGTAAAGTTCTTGATAAATCATGAAAAAAATAAAAATAAAAAACACAGAATGCAATGATCACTGTTTAATATTTGTAAGATTCAAGTCTTTTAAACTGATCTTTTACAATGATGTACACTTTATGTATTTGATTATCTAGAGTTATATATACACATCAAGTATACATGTATGTGTAGTGAGATAGAAAAAATGTCAGACATTTGGAACAAAATCCTACTTATATTATTAAAAACACTTTAAGACATCACATCAGTCGACTGCATGTCCTATATTCAACATCAACCTCATAAATTCAGAAACACTGTATACATTTTGGTTTCCCAGAGTGTATCCTAACTTTAAAATACTGTCAATTACTGTAATAGCAAATACATCAGGTTCACTGTGATCCTTGTAGATTCTTTCATGTCTCCAGCTGGACTATTTCAGATGCTACAGCATCCACAGTTTTTTTCGGCAATATTAACTATTGTATTATATGTTACATAGACATCAGAATATTCTTAAAGACTAAAGAAATTCTTGGTTTGGTCTTTTCAATCACACATTAGTCCAAAAAAATGAACTTTCCTGACAGCCATGGGAGCAGCAGCCCCCGTCTTCAAAGGGTAAACAAATAAAACTTGTGGCATTTCAGTCTTTCTCTGCAAACAAAGTGCATAAAATAAAATGAGAAGTTATTTTAAATAGTGCATTTATAGTATTTAGGTAAACTAACTTAAAGGTCTTGGAGACTTCCATAATCACATTAATATTCAGGCTCATTCACAAAGGATAAGGAAAACACAAATTTAGTAGAAAATTGTATAATTTGTCTTATGGCTCATATAATTTGTTGTTGATGTATTGTTTGCAAAGGTCTGGCTTCATGTCACATCTGCTCCACTGAAAGTACGTATGTAATAGGTCTGTCTCATAGGTAGGAGTAAAAAAAAAAAAACCTGAATTATGTCTTTCCTAAAACTCCTTTAAAACGATTATTATCTACAAGCTACAAGGCAACTTTATCCCAGTACAAAACTACATGATAGTTCTAGCAGGTTTTAAGTATGTAGTATGCTCACACTGAAAAATTTAACCATTAAAATGTCAACATGCATACTAAACAACATTTGTGAGTGTGCTGTGAATGAACACTATTGTCCCACAATGCAACGTGCAAGGCTAATCTAAGGACAACTCACAGCTGCAAACATCTACATAATTTGCTCCAGAAATATCTTATAAAACATAAAATGCAGTAAATCTTTAGAAAGTTTTTATGGCAGAAGATTTGAACACAAGAAACATTGTCTTAATCACATCCCAGCTTTAGGCAGCTTACCCCTGAGCCTTTCTATTTCCTGACAAACATCTTTACACACAGCAGCCAAAAGCTCTTCCTTTGGCTTCAGTCCATCCAGAAATACTATAAAAAAAACAGATGTTGAACGAATAAGCTTAATTTATTTTATTATTTTATACTTGTACATCTGTTACAGTGACAATAGATTTAGTTTATCATCATTTTTCAGGTCTCAACCACATTAATACCCCATCTGCTCCAATAAATCCCAGTATTTACCGCATCAGCGTCACATTCTAAACACATGGTATCTTTAACTGGACACTCACCAATTCCAGACACAATGCTCTCCATCTCCTGACGGTTCTTCAGGTACATTGGCCACACGTGTCCTTCAAAGTAGCCCGGAGGATCAGGAGGCGTGTACACCCTCGAACTGTCAATCAAAGACAGCCTCATAGGTAAAACATGAAGAAAAAAACTTTTTCTCTTGTTTTTTTAACTCAAACATGAAAAATGGAAATTAAATGGAGACTAAACCTATTAAAAAGTAAAAAAGAAAAGAGATAAAAGATCAAATCTGACACCTTCGTCTCCTCTTGCAGACATCGTAAGGTATTTGAATGAAGTATCTTTTGTCAAATAGCTCATTCAGAGGCCTGGAAAAGTAAAACACAACATAGAGTTAAAGCATCTGTTATCATTAGGAGACACATTTTCACATCATTAAATAAATCCTGGGTAACACTTATGGTCAGAGATAAACCACAACTGAGTGGTTACTTCGCAAAAACAATAACAATTTAAGTTGAAATCTCTATTTAGTCATTATCCATTTATTTAAGGAAACCGTATTTTCCATATATGTTGAATTGTATGCTTTCCAGTAGACAAACTTCACATTTCTGCATATTTAGCCTAATTAATTACCAGTAATTAACTATTTAATTATAGATCCGTAAAATAAAATGTTGAAATGATAACACAGTAACTTCACTAAACCCTCCCTCGTGTACCTGTAGTTGAAAATGAGGAAGCCTTCCACTATCAGCACAAACACCTCACGATCGGCTGAGGGTGTTGTGCGCTCTGGGCCCAGGCCCCGCTGCCTCAGGAACGTCTCAGGATCTCTTCGCCATGAGTCAACATCGCTCATCATCGTATCCATGTGGAGAGCATCAAGTACTTAAACAGAACACAATCAGAAAAGTACAAGTCTGATAACTGATTAACCATTTAAGTAATTTATCTTTGTTTTGGCCTAATAGAAGTCAGTATTAAATATATTGGGAATAATTATTTATCCACCATCTGCACAAAACTCCAATAATTCCCAGAAAAAACACCAAGGACATGACCTCTGTGTTCTTAACGGTGGCTACTCCCTTACACTCATCCATCCATACATAAATCTATCCACCATTTTCAGATGGATGGACTACAGCTGCAGTGAAAATGTCTTCACATGACATGATGTGATCAAATTGTGTAACTGCAACACAGTAAAGTGGGTCCAAATACTCACAGTATATTTCCAACATCAGTGTTTAGAAAGGATTTATTCTCCTTACTGTCATATTGCTTAAACCCATTGCTGTCCTCTGGAACCGCCGAATCATCCTGAAGAAGAAAATCATCCGCCGTGATCACTCAAGCTCTCAGATTTCCTGCATGACTTCAAAAGTGTAAAAAGCAGTGATAATATTTAAAGGATCTCTCACACTCTACCTTAAAATATGAATCCTGTGCAATGATGCAGCTGTTGGGTATCTGCTGGTGTAGACTTCTAGAAAGAGTAGATTTCCCTCCATTGGTCATCCTGAAAGAAAACATATCGCTACCTTTTGTATATTTTAGAGCTGCACCACTTAAACAGCTAGTGGTATAGATGTGTACTCCAGGGCATGTCAGCACCAGAGCCTGACTGAGAAATTAGCCAATATAGTTTGATTTTTCAAATTTAAAATGTCACACTCAAGTACATATTTTGGCTAAAATTGTTTAAAAGACAAATGTAATGGTTTTTAATTAAAAATATGTTATGAAATATGAAAATAAATATGAAATATCACTTAATATATTGTTAGCAATTTTTCAAACTCTCGTTTCAGCCTCAGTCAGGATGTGGTCGGTACACATCTGTGTGGTCTGAAGTGCAACACACTTGAAACTAGAACAGACAGTGAGTTAATATTTGAACACCAGTCACATTAGAAAATATTTAAAAAGGAAGTGCGTAATTCCTGCACACAGACTGTTATCAGTAAATTAATAGACCTTTGTCAGGCATCCTGATTTCATCTTTCTACGCACCTGTCTGCAGAATGTGCATTAACAACACTTTATTTGACATTAGTATATAGAAAATCTATGTCACTTATATCGAATGCACTTACTGTACAATCTATGAGTGCAAAGATAACAATAATTTCAGGCATTTAAGCATATCTATTTTCTTTAGGTCATCCTAACTGACACTTAGTTTCCCCTTCAACATGTCTGCACGGTGAATTAATGTCAGAAATAACAAAAAGCTCTTAGCACTGCTACAGAGGGGCATTATCTCTTTTCTCTGTAAAGCAACCATCTCTTATCAGACTTAGCTGCCACATGGTTGTCACATGCTGTATTGATCTGATGGTGCCCCTGCTGCTCCCACTCAATGTATGTTAGCCAATATTAACAGCCAGTACTATTAATTCATGTACTGGTGTCTTTCTGTAACCTGCTGTCTTCTCACTTACACAATAAAACACCAAGTGACACGTTGAATAAAGGCTCAACTAAAAGTAACCTGTGTTTGCACTTTGTATCTCTTGTTGCATGTAAAGCGTTAAGCATGCAAAATGCTGTCTGAGGTCCAACAGCCTATCTGGATGCAAAATCACTGAAAGAGAACAATAACAGGCATGTTTTGTGGGGGAGGTCAAGACATCAACACATTAATGTTTACAATCCTTTGGACTTACCCGCCAACTCCTACAACTAGTGTCTTCATTTCAGCTTGTTGGGGCAGCTCACTGCAAAGTCTTTGAGATATAAAACTGGCAATATTGCATTAACAGCAGTATATTTGCAGTAGTTACTACACAGAAATGTTAGTAAAGTGCTGCAGCCATTGCTGCAACAACTGTGCTATGTGGCTCCGAGGCTCCCTCACTCTTTTCCGCTATTGGACGTGATTCGCTGTTGGAGCTTCTGCGTCATTCACGACCCAGCTCATTGAGAAAAAACAGAATATATTGTACAGTAAATTCAGTACAGCGTTACAGCTATACCCGATTAAAAACAAAGCACAACATTAAATTATACAGCAACTGAATGAACAAATACCATAAAATTAAAATACATTGCACGTAAAGTTCAGGTTTTACATACAAAACATCATCGAAACATAGAAAAAAAAATCTATGCAAAGTAAGTTATGTTTAAAATTATAATAGTAAAAGAACAACTTTTTTAAATCGTAACTAATAAAAACAAATTGTGTAACTTAAACTAACTTAAAGTTGACTTTAAATAAACGACAGTAAAATTGAATAAAATAAATAAAATACTGAGTTTACATAGGTATGGGTAAGCTAAAAATATGTTTAAAAAATGTTATAAATAAATATATAGAAAAAATAAATAGCAAAATAAAGTAACTTATAAAATGAAATGAAAAATAAAAGTAAAATAATAAAGTTTTTTTTAGGTTAAGTTAAATATCTATCTATCTATCTATCTATCTATCTATCTATCTATCTATCTATAAAAAGCTTGCGCATGCGCAGCCGAACTTTTCCGCGTCCCCTGTAGTTCTGCTGCACTTCCTCATTGTCAGTGATAGCAAAGTGCTCTACACTGTAGCGACGTCTCTGACTGAGCTCACACACAGCGTGTTTCGTTTTATTTGTTTTATCTGTGAGCCTCGCAAATGTCGAAGCCTCCTCCGAAGCCGGCCAAGCCAGGTAAGACCGACGCTATGAAGGTTATAAAAGTTGAAATTTAGCCCAAAAACTTCAGCTCTGTGTCTCTCGCGAGGACAACACACCTTGTAGGCGATGTAAGCTCCAATGGGCGGGCGGTGTGCACTTAAATCGGCGGATTTCTGTCGTTTGTCTGTGAAACATTCATCACCAAGTGGAAATAAAGCTCATAAAATCTGATTAATAACAACACCTGTTATTAATGACCGGACCCAAACTGCAGTGCGGTTGGTAAAAGTGCCTCCGTGCCTTCACTGCTGATTGACAGGGCGATGCAGCTCTCAGCAGCAGGCCTCTGTGACTTCCCTATTTCCATCACTCATGCAAGGAGAGTACTGTCATACAGTGGTTTTAGGTCATAGATTGAGAGTTAATGATGAGTCTACACGGTCTTATTTCCTGCAAGCTCAGTCTGTGCTGCTATTTTAAGTTACTCCATCCCAGAGAAAGGGGAAATGTGTTTATTACTCACAAATAAATCTTACAGCACATCAGGTTTTTTGTGCATGTCATGGTTTTTTTTCAAAATGTGAATAGATAACATTTACCTCCTCTCCTGTAGATTGGGTCTGTGCAGCAGGTGTTCATGTGTGAGAAGCCACAACAAAAAAACATATATAACAATATTAGTAGTAAAACAATAAGTCTACAGTTTATAAGGTAATCAGTTTGCAAAATAAATACACACATACATCTTTACATCTCCCTCCCAAGGACTTGCAACACTGCAGAATGCTTCCTTAAAATGTTTTAAAGCTATTCTGTCCTCATAGCGTAGTATTTGTTCTAATGTAATTAAACAGAGATTTTTAAGGGCGCGTTCTACAGTGTTGTGAGTCCCTGGGAAGCATTTTATTAGGTTTATTAGTACACCTTTTTAAACTTAATGCACTAATACGACAACCCTGCAATTAATTAAAAACTTCACAAAGGATATAATGTTCATGTTTGTGTTGAAACTGTTTTATAGCTGCGTTAATTCGACTTTATGGTGATTTTGGAGGCCGTAGTTCGTTGTCAGTGTCAAGCCTCTAAAATCACCATGAAGTTAAGTGAACATCATAAACTTCATGAAGGTAGGATTTATTGCAGGGATGTTGTATTAGACTGCATGAGTCTTAGCTAGGTGAACCTAATAATGTATTTTTAGGTCACATCTTGCATATGTGGGGAGCAAAAAGAACCATCTTCACATCTTAAGTAAAAGCTGTTAGCACATGGTGTCAGACAGTAACTGTCTATTTAAAAAAATGCTTTGAAATCACTCAGGGGATGAACACAACCACAGCAGACGTGTTTATTGTGGTTTGTTTGCTGTTTATGTATAAAAGCATATGCATTTGGCTCTGGTATTCCTGGGGTGCCAAACATTTACAGTACAAACATACAATAAGAAAATACAAACAACTTAAAATATATAAGTACTAAGGCAAATGAACGAATGACTGAAGACAAGCGATAACAGATAACAATGCAGTTAACATAAAAATAGAAGAAAAGCAAGGCCAGCAAACATGTAAGGGTATGTTCTTACATTTATATGCTTTATGCTTTCAACAGTAGATGTGATATATATGTGGTATTGACCTATTATATGACAGTAAATTTATGGAAATTCATTCTTGGAGCTGGGAGCGTTGAGCGTAATCTGACCTGATGTGCTACAACTGTACACACAGAAGCCATATATATATATTTATCTTCCATCATCAAGAGGTAGTCACGTTTCGCCTGCTAGAACAAAACTCGATCTATGGCGCGTCATTCATATCATTCATACTCTTCATGGTTATTCATGACTCAGCTCCATGACACCTCACCTGGCCGTGACAGCAGGTGAGATCGTCTGTTTGTGCAGATGGCTGGTTGGTGTGCCTGTGGGCGAGCCGTCCCTCTTACTGGACACAGTCCGTGCCTCATATTGTCACGACTGATCTATGCAGTAATTCACGTGGAGACACACAAGTGTGAGAATGAAAGTCAAGAACTTCCCAGGACTCAATTGAAGACTCAACCTCGCTTGTTTTAAGGTTTTGGTCCGTCTAAAATAATTTTGAATGAATCTGTTCCTGCTGCAGGACTGCTGATCTCTAACTGTCCCTCTGATGGACGTTTTGACGTAGAATTTCAAGGCAAATATAAATTTTTTTTAGTGGGTGCTTGAAGAGATGTTTAACATTACACACACGCTGTGATAACTTTTTTTTTTATTGGTGCATGGCCACGTAGACCCTGATCAACCTTCTCATATTAAACAGGACCAGGCCTGTGAGGTTTTTTTTCCTTTACAAGAGGAATATGTCTAATCAGGACTTTAGAAGGCAACACTAGAGAGCAGTGTGTTTTCTCTAGTTTAAAACATTATATTTTCTGCACTAATGACTTCTGGTGTCATATTCTGGGACACTTGGATGGTTTTTGGGTTGGGCTTCGAAGAGGAATGGGAAAGCGAGCAGGGGCCATTTGCTTTCGCAATTAAAAATAACACAGCTGGAAATCATCACAAACCCAAAAGCAAATAAAATATACTGACAATGTTTTGCCCACACTGAGCTTCAGATTTTAGCTAGAATAAATCTTTTTACGTGCCTGAGGCTTTAAAATGCAGAGAGAACATGGACTAGTCAGCACAGGCTTTTGTGTGTTTTAAGCAACATGACCGGGCCTGCAGAGTAGACATGCTTTACTTGAACAGAGTTGCACTTGTGCAGCAGCTCAGCCCCTCTCATTCTGAGACACTGAGACAGTGTGTTAGCTAAATAGAAACCCTGAGTAACGGCAGAGGGGAGTTTCAAAAACCGTCTGACATATAGGCCTGTTAGCTAAAGCTAAAGGACATCCAGAACATATTACCAGTAAATTTACCAGTGTGACATAAGCACATCATGTCATGAGTCAACACGATTTGTTGTTTGTCTGTTTATTGTTTAACAGGAGAAATACACACAAACATTGGTACATTGGAAGAAGTAATGCAACAGATGGAGCAATAACAATCTTAACCTTGACAAAGTTATCAGGTACTGCACAAGTGAAAGCAATAACATTAAAAACAACCACGTAAAAGTGAAAATATCAGATAATGCATGTAGGTGAAGCAGCTTTTTATTCCCTGGTTAGACGTTCAATCAAACAAACGGATAAAACAGGTGAAAACCTGTTTGCAACTGTATGTAATGTTTGTGTAATGTGTTGGTGTTTTAAAGCATATTATTGACATATTCAATAGGGGCGTGTACAACAAGACAAATCCTTGGAATGGAAGTCAGTAGAGTGAAGCAATGTTTTTATCTACAAAGGATTACGTCACATTTGCAGTAGTGCTGAAGGAGGTTGGAGTCTGGTTAATTAAAACAAAAGCTGGTACTTCAGTGTGTTTATCTATGTAATAAATGTACAGCACATACTGTACATTATTTCAGGGATTGTTTAGTCCCAGAAATTAATAGTTGGTAGTAATATTAAATATGTAAATGTAAAATGCGTCACTGTTTCTTTTAGGTCTTTTTGTGGGTCTCTGTGAACTAGTTCAGCTGTCAGCTAAGGCCGCAACCACTCTGGTAGCATTCCAGCAGCAGAGCTAATGCCAGGCTCGACAGTGAGCCATCAAAGGCCCAGAGGACAGTTACCTCAGGGCTGCACACACAAAGACCAGCTATGCGTTTCTGTCCCTGCACTGCATGTACAAATGTGTATTGTTGTTGGCTGTAGCAGAGTTGTTTAAGTGAATGCAGGCAGTGAAAAGCAGACATCAGGAGCTGTGTGTCCTAACTCGTAGTAGTTATATTTTTAGTTTGAAAACAGGTTGCATTGCTCAGACAGGGCTACAAGCAATTGGCTCTTAAGGTGATAGATGATGTTACTGATTTATTGCTCTAATATGAGAGTAATTTACCGCATTAAAGCCACATTTAGCACTGACGTGCAGGCTCATGGTAGTGATTATGGCATCAAGTGGCAGCATGTGTGGTTTCACTTCCCTGTTTCTGTGTGTACTCTCAGGTACAATGTGCTCTGTTCACCACTCTTTTTCATACAGGGATGAGATTAACTTTCCACAAATAACCTACAAATACTCATCTAACATGCAGTCTGTGTGTTTTCTCTTTCCTAGGCCAAGTCAAAGTGTTCAGAGCATTGTTCAACTTTGACCCCAGAACGGTATGAGCTTTTTGTTGGTTAAAATAGATTGTTTTTCTAATATTTGATG